GGGAAAGAGAGAGAGAGAAGTAGATGCCCATGCAAGCTCTCTCATGCTTTCAGAAAACATTTATTGAGTACCATTATTTGCCAGGTACCATTCTAGGCTTTGAGGATACAGCAATGAACGAGAGAGGTGATGTCCTTTTTTTCATGAGTGTATATCTGAAGCGGTGGATAAATAATAAACACATGAATATATATTAGGTGCTTTACTTATGCATAATTTATATATTTGCTCATTTGCATACTTAGATTTGTATATGTCTATATGTTAGAATCTAACGAGTGCTATGAAAAAATATAATGAAGGGACAGAATGCGATGGAGAGTGCTGTGTCAGATAGGGTGGGTAGGGAAGTACTCTGTTTAGATGACATCTGAGCAGACTCTGGAATGAGGTAAGGGAATGATTTGTGCAGATAAGCAGGAAGAACATCTTAGGCCAAGGGAAGGACTGATAAAGATCGCACTAGGGAGGGGAACATGCTGAGTGTATGGAAAGTCAGCAAGGAGGCCTGCATACTGGAGAGGAACAAGCAGGCAGAGAAAATAGGAGTTGTGGGTAGATTGATGTTGGTGAAAGCTCATGTTATGTCATTTATGGGTCAAGGCTAAAGATCTGGGTTTTATTCTGGGTGGGATGGGAAACCATTAGAGAGTTTTGAGCAGAGGATTGACAAGATGGAACTGCCTTTTCTTAAATGACCAGTCTAGCAGCTGTGTGGAGCATAGGAGCTACTCATCACCACTGGCTTTTGCATAGTGCAGGTGATGAGACCTGGTATGCAGGTGTTCAAGGCTGGGGCTTGCCAACATCTTGAAAGTGGGGACTATTGGCAAAGAAGACTGAGCAGGTCAACCAGTGAAAACCAGGACAGTGTGAATTCTAGATTCAAGAAGGCAAGCTCTCCTAGTTCCATAATTAACAGAGTGGGAGATTTACTTTTAGATTTTGTTTACTATTCATGTAGACACATGTGTATATTTAAAAAATATGATTAGGATCATATTTACACATAAAATGAACTTTAATATGCTAAAGAGCAAGGAAAAGGTGATTTTAATGTTCAACTTTGAGAAAAGTG